GCCTAGACTCTTCTTCAGAAAATGACCCTTTTCTGAAGAAGAGTCTTGACCCAAAACGTCAGCTTTCCTGCTCCTCTGATGCTGCTTGGCCTGCTGTGTTCCTCCAAGGTCTACACCATGTTATCTCAGATTCTCCAGCATCGGCAGTTCCTACTATCTCTTGTGCTTTTATGTTCACTGTTTCTTGAATGTTCGTCTTGGTGTCCGGGCTTACATGGCTCTTCCTTCTATGCATTGTAAAGGAGACTGTCTGAGATTATTTGGGTGGGTGAACTCATACCCCCACAAGGGCTTGTCCAGCCAACACTCTGAGATGGATGGATCCACCTGTGGACAACAATGAAGCAATTCTTTAGGCCCGACATCTTCTCACCTTGACTGACTGTCTCAATGCCCACAGCTCCTGACAGCCCCAGGTGCTAGGTCTCTTCAACATCATTGCCCTCTGTTTTCCTCCAGATCCCTCTTCCATTCCTCCATGCACCTAACGCTATGCCACATCCCTTCACTACCACCACCTTCCTGATCCTGAACTTTCATGCAACCTGTCATTCTCTGGCTTCTTTACCTTTTGCTGTAGAGATAAACAAGATAGACCGCTGACCTCAGACATAACTACATCAAGTCAACTGCACATTACCACCTTTAAACAATCATGAACTGGGTGTTATGAGATTCTCATGTGCCACTAACTCTATCTGAAAAAGTAGGACTTTATTACAAAAAGAGTTTTACTCTAATGGGTATTCATACCATGTAACTATATTGTGGATACAAACCTGCCATAGGATAGAGTGAAATACTGCAAAAGCTGCTATCAGTCTCTGCATCTCAAAATACAGACAGGAGATTGAACTTGCATATCCTGCCCAATTCAATCACTTGGCACGCTATGTTTCCCATTTTTACAGAATCCTAAAATGCCCTCCTTGACTTCTTTTGGCAGATAACTAGTAAAAGGTGGAGTAGGGCCGATTAGGAATGAAAAAAATACATTTAAGCATGGATACAGTGGGCACAGCCACTTAGCATCAGTCATTACCAAGACAGAAGGTGCTGGCAAAGTCAAAGTGAAAAAATGAAAGTGAGATATTGGATGAGCTAAAAATGTATAAACAGGTATTAGATAATCTGGTTGTTTTTAAAGTTGATAAGTCACCCGAACTGCATCAGACACAATCAAGGATACTGAAGGAAGGAATGGTGAAAATGTTTAAGATGCTGGCCATAACTCTCCAATCCTCTTTAGCTACAGGTGGGAGAGTGATGGCTCCAATTAAGTTGAGAATTGCAAGAATTACCCAGATAATATTCACAGCCACTTGTGCAAATGTGGATTAATTAAGGAAAGCTAGCACACAGAATAGTTAAGGGAGAATCATGAGAACTGTTTTTGTTTTTGATGAGGTAACAGAGATGGTTAATGCGCTTGACTTTTCACCCATCTGCCTCTCAACCTGAAGTGGGAATAAAAAGCAAATCTGAAATCTTCATAATTACTTGCAGAAAGATGAATGCCCACAGTTTCATGGAAGAGAAATAAAGGATGCTTGTGTTAGCAATAAATAATGTATATAATAAATTAAGCTAATATGTACATTGCTTCAGTTGTTGCACTTCAGTGTATACTTTTCAATCTTTTATGTCAACTTAAAATAGACTGAAAATTTGTCAGCTCAATTAATTTTTACATTGTATTCTAAAACATTACAACTTTATAAATGAGCAATATACTTGCCAAACAAGAATAGGAATCATTTAGTCTGTGGTCCAGAGTCAGCCTTTGTAGCATTTCAAACAGTGTAGCATGATCAAACATACAAGGATTTGCAGAGATGAATTCATCCATCCCATGCTTCTGCGCTCTGTCTGCATCTGTTTTCCAGGCACATATACAGAAAAGAGTATACTTAGGGAAAGAGTTCAAACATGAAACTTGAGTAGACAAATTGAGCAGGCATGCTCTTTAGAATGTTTTAACACCCTCACTACCTGGGCTTGATTGTCTTTTATATTTTTGCTTTTTGAAAACTTTTCATGCAACAGATTTTATTCCTCTGGAATGTTATCTTCAATTCCAGTGCAGCATAATTATAAAAGATATTGCACAAATAACTGCATTCACTCAAGTACCATATGATGTGTGCTGATATTTAATTAACATCTTTACTGCATAATATTTTTCTCAATAGATTCTGCCATTCCACAGAATGCAATTCAAATTCAGATTTTATTTAAGGATTGTTTTGCCACTAGGTACCAGAAAGTTAATGGAACTGATATTGTTCCCAATGTCGGTCCATTTTAGTTACACCAGTTTTGCGTCAGACTTTAATTGAGAAATTTAATGAGAATATTTTATTTGAAAGAGTACATACTGCATGCCACAAATATGGGAAAACAATTGTTTTACAACAGAGTCAGTCTTAAAAATGATATGCGGGTGCCAAACTAAGATTAGAGCCATAATATGGAACAGCCATGTCTGGAAACTGTGGTTTTCAAGCCAGTTTCCAAGCAATGTTAGAAAATATTTATATTGGATATACTATTTGTTTTTTATTTGTACTTTCAAAATTAATTATTTAGAAATAGATAAAAATTGTCAGTTAAACCAGCAAGGCATGGGCATTTCAATAACATTGATACTGAGCACTCTGGATGGGTGGGGTAGATGTCAGTCCAGGCTGAGATACCTGAATATCGATTTTTTTGTTTGCTCAAGTGCACCTCCTGATGGATTGACTGAGAAGCTGCACTGATTACATCTGTGCTCGTCTATTCCATATACTTGGTCAAATTTGTTAGTACTATTATGGGGACTAACTTGTGTGAAGGAGGGACAAAACAGACATGAGATAATAATCAAAAGAAGGAAGTAGTGACATCAACTCAAAGCATTTTAAATACATACAGATTATATTTTAAATACAAAATTTATTATTTAAATTGGGTTAATAGCGTCAATAAAGCAAGAGGTTATTATATTTTTTACAATGCAAATGAATTGGATATGACTGAAAAATCAAAGATGGTTAATATAAGCAATGAAATTATTCTGAATACTTCATTGCTGATTAAAATGGATTCATGAAGAAAAACAGACTGAGACTATATCTGTACTGCTAAACAAAACGAAAGGACTGGCACAGCAAGGTTACATTCTGCTATTTGCTACGATTTAATGAAGTAGGAGCACTCATGCTTTCTTTTCAAACTGAAGCCTGTAGACACAACCACCTAGGGATTAACTAATTAATCTCAACATGCATAGCTAAAATACTCTAATCAGCCAAAGAAACAAAAACAGAAGCCATTCTGGGTGTGGTCAGATGCACCCTAGTTGCTAGTATGTTCTTGTATCTGTCATTAAATTAAAGACAGATTTCACTGTCTTTTATATACAGTCAGTTTCCCATTACATTGGGCATTTCTCCAAGTCCTAGGCAAATAAATTTTTAAAAAAATCTTTCTCCTTCTTACCGCTGTGTACATCTCCAGCTTTTGGTTTACACATGATCCACAAGACTATTCATTTGTATTTCAAAAGCAATCATGCTTTAGTACTAGAGGTAAGACAAGTGTGCTTTTGCCATTTTTTTTATTAACGGTCAAGATGTTTTTTATTAATGATCAAGGGAAAATCAATTCAAAATAAAGCAATGTTACATCACAACTAAAATAACTAAAACAATACTGGTTTGAAATGTGCTAAACTTAAAAATTTTAAGGAAGTAAAATAAGACTAATTACTGCTAACATTGGATACATTTTGTATGATAGACAGTGAAAGTTTCTAGAAAACTAGACAAAAAAGTTTTTAATTGTTATTCTATAGAAGTTCAAATATTCTATGAATAGCAGCCATCAGAAATGTGCATTCATTTAAATGAAATTATTTTCCAATGCCATGAAGCCCACCACTTATATAGGATGACTTAATTATTTCACATACAGATGTTTTTCGATAATATAGACATTTACAAGCAATAATTTATTTTATCAATAAATGATGACTTAAAAGAACCGCTATGGGTATTTTAAAAACCAGTACCTAAACAAAAATTGTTTTTGAGAAGTAGTTAAAGATATTTTCTCCATAGTTAGAATAGAGGCTTTATGATAGAAGCATATCATAAAGGTAATCCAGCAGTTTAATTACCTACATGTTGAGTGAACACATAAATTTGAAAATTGATTCTAATCTGCTGTTTTACTGAAAACAAAACCCTTTGCTGGTGTATTTTTAGAACTCAATGTGGATTACAATAATATGGATTTTTACTACAACATTATTGTTGAAGATCCAGATCTTTTAATATTCCAAACAAATTAAATATTGTGAGAGAATTGGATTATTTTCATAAAAGTCCTCCTATTTTTGAATTCAGGGTTTTTCATGCATTCTGCTATGTTGGTATATTCACAGCCTTTCTGTGCCAGTCAAAGCAGAAGCCAGAATGATACAATATCATATGCATTACCGATTCAGATACAGAATCATGCGAGTGAAGTGACTGGATTCAGATAGAACTATCGGCTTAGAACTCTATCTATTGACAAGTTATACAGTGTGACTTGCCTGGGCCATGGGTATTATTAGTATATCTGAAAGCATTGAAATAATTTATCCTACGTTCCCTTTACAGCTTTCAAAATCTGAAGATGTATCTACGAGATTTGTGGAGATTAGTTCGGCTAAATAATCTATAGCTAACATTATTTTGAGCAGGATTAGAATGATGTACGAAACAGTAAAGACATTATTAATTTATAAGTTTCTGAATATATTATTCATATTCATTTATATTTTGTTGCCGAAATATTACTTCAGTCAGATGAATGAGTTCTGACTCTCGATAATTATAAAAAGAGGAACAAGTTTATGTTATGCAATGATCTACAGAAAATTACTGCTTTTTATTAGAATGCTTAGCATTTTAAATGTTAGCAATCTATTGATAATATATATTATGGAACATTAACGGAACTAAGAGATAACTATAAATGTGAGTAATTGCAATAAATGTATTCATGATATTTACCTGCATTCCATTCATTTAATAATATTGGAAGTAATGGCCAAACTTAACAGGCCTGTATCTGTATGATGGCTCTGCTCAAATGTTAAAACTATTCATTTTTATGGTGCTGTAAATTGTTATGACATTAAAACGTAATCTGCTTATAATTATAGAAATGTATTATTCATATGTGCATTTATAAATATATATATTTATGTAATGTATAAGGATAACAAATGATGCTATTTGTAAATCAATTACCAATTACCAAAAGCAATCAATCAATCAATTACCAGTACGTACAAAGCTGTACTCGAATTCACCAAGTACTTGAAACAGCATATATATCCATGATACATATTGCCTTATTTCATACACAGTGAACTTTAAGGGATTAAAAACATAATTAGAATCTTTTAGTTTGCTCCTATTTCAACAGCACTTTTCCACTTATCTGTTTAATGTGTCACACTGACAATTATCCATCCCAAAAAAATCTTTCAATTAAAAGCTCGCAAATTTATGAAACAACATTTTGATACTAAATTGCTTTTTAAAACAAAAAATCAACCTAGAAGCTACTGGCTATCAAAGAGGATGTGGCAATATTTGAAGGCGTTAAATAATAAATTATTTGAATAAAGATTTATCTTCCTGAAGTTAGATAATTGTGTGCATTGAATTCTTAACTACAATGCTTCATAACTGTCAGCACAGAGACAATTAATATTGTCAAACAAATTTTTTAACATTTCTAGCAGAAAGTTCACAATGAGATGTCGGACATGAAAAAGGTGACTTTCTATCTCAGTCCTCCGGTAAATGCGCACATGTCATATCTCTTTGACATTAAAAGAATGAAGATCTGTTTTGGACAATAACAAACAATGACACTAGTCAACTTCAGCTGGAGAAGTGAAAAGAAGAAATGACAATGATTGATGGCAGCTATCCATTTTCAGATACTAGCTGCGAGAATGTTCTGTGGGGTCTCTAATAAGAAACTGATCTACATTATTTTAAGTTTTTAAAATGTAAGTATCAAAGATACATACCTTTTAACTTTCACCATCATAGTTTGGGACTTATTAATTCATCAAACAAATAAAAAATATTAAATACAAATGCTATGGCATATTTCTGATATTTTCTAATTAAAATGCAATATCTATTTTGTTCGTCTGGATGACATTCTCCTTGTCACATCTCAGCATTCTGATAAAGGCACATAACAAGAACATGACGGGCATACTGCAGGACACCATCATTTCCTAGTGGCCCAGAAAATGCTAATTATATCTTTTTAGTTGGATCCTTTAAGGATCTGCAAGCACTTTACTTTAAGTAAAGAATGAAAAATATTTTTAAAAATGTAATGCAGATCAGATAGCCAGCAGTTTTCAAAGTTAATCAGACAGGGCACTGACTGGTTATTTAATATTGATCTATATTTCAGTAAAATCAATTTTAGATCCTTCCTTGATTTGCAAATATCATTAAAATTGAATTATATGAATTTGTAAAATTCTACATTAGTTACTCATGCATTTGATTGGTAAGTGGTTTATAGTGTACTGCAGTTAAGACAAAACATGCACATTAAGTGAATTGATTAAATTCACTAGATTGTGGTACTGCATTCCTCAAATGTAGCAATTGCATTTTGAATATACTAAAAATATTATAGCAGTGTACTGATGATAAAATATGTAGCATTTAAAGCATACAAAACTACCAAACCATTCTAATAGGATAGCAACAAAGTTTGGTGCAAATACATGGACACGGAGTAATGTTTTTTATTATAAGGGAGTTTAGAGTTTCACAATTACCATGCATTTCCACCAAAAA